ACGGGTACAACACAATGGCTCAAACTTTCTCTAACATGTCTCTTGGCCAACAACTCTTCTACTTGGTGCTGGAGCTCTCGGGTTTCCTTCATATCACTCTTATAACTAGGTCGGTTAGGAATGGTGGCTTCAGGGATAAAATTAATTTAATGTTCAATTCCTCGTAGTGGTGGGAGTCTGTCTGAGATTTCCTCCAGTAGGACATCCTCGATTTCTTGTAGGAGGAAAACAATACCACGAGGTAGGGCTAGGTTAAGGTTGGATTGGTTTAAATATACCTCCTTATATCGCAATACTACAAGGCATTTTTTCTTATAAACTGCTTGTCTCACTTGTCATCCCCTCACATAAAGACTATCTTTCCTTTTCTTTTTCTCTCCCTGGCTTTTACTAGGCCCAATTTATTCCTTTTCGGGGACTTTTAACGTTTTTGCTCTCTCTTTAGGTATTTCTCAAAGGTCCTTTTGACCTTTACTTGATCCTCATGCACCTCTCAGGGTGAAAAGGGTGTGATGATATGGGTAAGGTTGTCCTTTCATAAAAAATAGTCATTGGTCTGACCATGGTGTTGGACTTGCCTATCAAATTGCCAAGGCCTGCCAAGTATCACATGGCTGAAGTGTATAGGAACAACATCACAACATACTTCATCTTTGTACTTACTGATGGAGAAAGGTACCATGACCTACTGAGTTATCTTTACTTTGTCGCTTTCATTCAGCCATTGCAACCTGTAAGGGCTGGGGTACGCAATATATGTAAGTCCCAATCTCTCCACGATCAAGGTACTGGCTACTTTAGTACTACTTCTTCCATCGATGATCATACTCTCCACGATCAGGGTACTGGCTATTTTAGTACTACTTCTTCCATCGATGATCATACTACACACCTTGTTGTTGATAAGGCAGCAGGTGTGAAATATGTTCTCCCCTTGTTCTGGGTCCTTACTTTTGATTTGCAAGTTGAGGGCTCTTCACAGAACAATGGTACTGCTCCAGCTGGGAGTTCTTGCAATGATATGAAATATATCGAAGTACCTGCAAAAAGAAGTTAGTGAAAGTAAAAACTCTCCTTCACCTTCGCTCGTGTTTACTTCCCAATCTCTTAGTTGACAACTTCTTCTGTTGAGTTGAGCGTTCGAAATCAGAATCACTTGGTCGGGTCTACACGTTAGCTCTTATGACACAACAAAACCTTAAAAGCTTGTTTGGATGACTTTCAGGATGGTTAATTAATGTATGGTGTTGTATGGTAACGACAGAGTATTGTAATGACAAAGTTATACTATATTTGAGAAGATTGTGTATTAATGTATAGTAATGTTAGTTGTTTTTGTTTGAATTGATAGGATGACATGGTTGTGTATTCAATCAAATTACCTATTTTGTCACTATTTATTGTATGTAATAATAAATGAAAAAAAGACAAAACAAATGGGACTCTCAGTGCAGAAGAAGATCTAGAGGCGGCAAAAATATATAAATGTGTATATATTTATATAATTAAATAAATAAATGAAATAAAAAAAGAAGATCAAGTGGCAATATTGCAAGAAAAAGAAGATTATTTTTGTATATTCCTATTATTCTAATTATTTTTGTATATTCCTATTATTTCTATTAATTTTTTGGTTAATCTATGATAAATATAGAATTAAGAAAAGATGGTGAGGGTATAAATGGAAAGCAAAATTTTTTACCATTCAAAAATCACTGATTCGGTAGTTTGCAAAAGTAGAAAAATGTGGTTTGAGACCATACAGACATAAAAAATCATACTATGTATTTTGAAGTTGATTCAATAA